GGAACAATTTCCTCTCGCCATACATAAATAACTAACTTTATCATCAATCTTTTCCTGAATTTCTACTAAATAGAACCTAATCTAATAGTGCTATGTTCCTGGCCTCGCGTTTTTACGGCGAGTAGGGGGTTCCAGGAACCGCATTTATTTGTATTTATATGTATTTATATCGGTCCCAGAAGGGAACCGATCAACTTAAAATATATTAATGATGTATTTAAATGTTAGATACCACAGACCCCCTACTGTAGTATCCTAGATTGAACCATATAATTTCCATTGGATTTCTTTTCTAGAGGTATCGTGTTTTTAATTTACCATTTGTTTCTATTACTAATTGGTGGCATGCAAGGTAGAATATAAAATCGCCAAGATGGTTTACTAACTATTATATTTACAAGCTTAAATAAAATCAAACCATGTATACAAAATAATGAACAAAAATATATACATAATGAATAGTTGAGAATCATACTAGAGGAGAATGCTTGATGTTTGATTAAAGTTACATGTATTATATTGATTCTATTAATTAGCGATTTATGGTTGCCAACACAAGTTTACATTTGTATAACTAAATGAGGGTTATTACCAAGCTGGTTCTTCATCTTCTTCGAGTCTCCTTCCATGTCGCTCTCCTTCAGCGTCTAGTCCGTCCATCTGCTCCCTCCGGCTGTGTCATAGCCTGAGTCCCAGCTATCAGCCTCTATCTTGCTCTCTCCGCCTCTCCTGATCAAGTCCTTCCTCAAAACTCTAAACGTCCTAGCTTCCATTCACCTCCTCTCTGTTTGTACTTTTTCCTGATTGGCTGGATATTCTTAGCCTAAGGGATGACCACGCCCTCTCCCCCAGGCCAAGGTATTCCACTAACCAGGTATATTTTACGTATTTCTGGTGGAAGGTGTGAAAGGTCTTTCTGGATCCTGTTTAAACACTCAGTTGGTCGGTGTCGGTCTTGGTCGGTAGTTCTTAAGGGTTTTTATTACCACTTACAAAAGGTTGAGCTCGTGGGTCGTTACCCTAGCTCAGGTACCGCCAGATGTGAGCACTTATGATATTTATTTATTTATACATTTAAAATAATTAAATGAATTCCACCGGCGGTCTCTACAATACATAGCAATTGTCAATTTCACTGGTGGCATAACAACTCAGATGGATCCATCTTCAATTAGGTTTTTCTTTTTCTTTCAGAGTAAATACCGTATATTAAATTTACGCAATACATATTAAAAATATAATATTTATTACTAAGGCATTATTGTGAAGTATATAGGCAAACTTTACAAAAGTATGTAATTATAAAAAATATTTTTAATTGTTTAAAAAGTGAACTCTTAAACTAGTGATATGTCTATAATTTGGTCAATATAGTGTCTTAGGTGTTACTTTTTCCAAAAATGGGTCGGTAATAACGTGTATTCCCTTACGCAAAATAAATAGAAAATAATGGTAGTCACTCTAATTTCAATGTTTCCACGCGTAGAAATCTCTATAATTTCTTAGGTGACAGATTGGGGCAAGGTATGAAAACTGTTTTTATATTTTCAGACATTTTTTAACAACAGAGCCTAGTTTTTCGAGCCATTGTAGGCGATTTACGAAATGGAATCAAATTGTTTAAAATTGTTGGAACGTCACGATGCGTAGTAGTAATTCTATATTTATAAAAACCTGTCATTCAACTGTCTTAAGACTCACTAGATGTATCTGATTCTGCTTAACACAAACTTTATTTTCCTAACCTGATTTTCCTTCTACCAATTATTACATCATATCAAGATATTATTAATGTGATAATCAAGTTAAAACTTGCTAGGAATGACAGGCATAAACAATAGTAGTCAAATATTCCAACTTTAATTTTTATTTTTTCTCCCAGTGTTCAGAACAGTACGCTCGCTCCACTGTGCGCCGATTCGGGAAAAAAAAAAGAAAGAAAATAAGCTAAATACTTAAACAATCACAATATATTATATTTTTAAATTATAATCCATATACACCACTACTAAATGTAAGCACATATCTAAAAGCATTAATGTTCCTTTAGTGGCCTTTTTTTTTTACTTCCAATTTTTTTCACTTATACATTACTTCGTTAGGTTATTTTTCATTTTTTCTCCGTAAAAAGAGTAATAACCGAAAAAAAGTTTTTCCAAGAATTAAATCCTGGATCCGCTACTGATAAATAGTGGATCTTAAATTACTCCGTAACAAATCTCATCATATTTTGAACTTAACGCTTATTAAACAAAAACAATTCATACAAAAGTGGGTTACCTGTAGCCCAGTTAGATGGTGAAAAAAACATTCATCCATAGTTTTATAAAAAGCAGCGTCTGGCTTACTCGCTTAATAATAATAGTGCTTTATTTATTCTGGGACGAGTCTCTTTAGAATAATACAAAAAGACAAAAATGTGGGCTAAGGAGCCTCAGAGATACATAAACAAAAATATAGAGTAAGTGAATAGTCAAAATAAAAAAAAAATAATAAAAGAAATTGTAAGTTACTTTCTAATTTAAATCAGTTAATAATAAAAAAAAAAATTAAAATAAACATGTAGTAAAAATAATGAAGAACGATCTGATAATTTATATACATATTTACAGTAGTGACTATTTACAATTTCATAGGGACTGGATGGATAAGAAATGATTGAACAAGCGGGTTTTAAAGATAGGAAGGGTTTTGGATTGACGGATGTCGGGAGGGATGGAGTTCCATAGGGATGAGGATCGGATAATGAAAGATCTGTCGAAAGCAGCAGCTCTGTGGACCCTTATGTATAAATCAGAAGACCGGGAACGAGTATTGCAGGAACGTAAAGAAGATTTGAATGGAAGGATCTCGGAGATGTATGAAGGGCGGTGGGATTGGATGACTTGAAAGAGGAAGGATTTCCAGGAAATACTTACGACGGTAGGAAGGATAAAGCCACTTCAACTCTACATAAGAACGGGAAACAAAGGCGTCCCTTGGGATCCCGAAGGTGAATCGTACAAAGCAATTTATCAAACGTTTTAATTTTGCTTCGAGATCCCCAGAGCCACCCCCATATACCGTACAGCAATAGTCAAAGTGGGGAAAAATTAAGGAAGTTACTAGGAGTCTACGGGTTTCAAGCGGAAATAGGTGACGGGAGTAATTTAGACGTTTTAAGCTGGAAATGCTACGGCGAGAGATGTTGGATATATGATTTTTCCAAGAAAGTGTTTGATCAAAGATCATTTCAAGGTTTTTGATGGAAGGATAGAATTTGATGGGATAATCATGTAGGAACAGAGTTGGAATATTAGGAAAAGTTTTAAGGAGGTGATTGGAGCCTATTAAGATTGTCTTTTCTGCATTCAAATTCAACTTGTTAGCTCTCGCCCAGTCACAAATCCTATCCAAGTCTTCATGAAGTTTTACTGTGGCTGATAATAGGCCGGTGGGCGGGCAGGACAGATATATTTGGAAATCATCTGCATAGATGTGGTATTGGGAGTGATGGGTCGGGAGGGGAAGGTCATTAATATAAATAGCAAACAGAGTAGGAGGTACAGAGGGACCTTGAGGGACACCACAGCAGAGGGGGAGGATTTTAGATGGAGGTTGACCTGTGACAACTACATACTGGGACAGATTTGAAAGGAAGGATTTAAACCAACACAGGGTACTGTTGGATAGAGGAAGGCTGTGTAATTTAGTGAGGAGGATGTTATGGTCTACTGCGTCAAACGCTTTGGAAAAATCTAGAAGGATGAGGATAGTAAGGTTTTGGTTGTTTCTAATAGTCGCTGGGAGTTTTTAACAAACAATAATACTACTTATATTTGAATGAAATTTTGTCTTGTTTACTACGAAGGAATTTTAAATTACCTAAATTAATTATTCTTTTAGTTACGGGTTTCTATTCAACAAGAAAAAAAAAAAAAAACAGAAAAATTCGATTTTATTCTTTACTGCGTAAATTATTTTAACTCTTAAGATCTACTATCACTCATTTAAATATCTCCTCTTACTTACGGAACACTCTGTATTTATCGGAAAATATTGCAGAGAATTTAAATTTTTATTTTTATTTTTCGGCAAATCACTTTTTTGTATAATTAGGAGCGATAACTGAATATATATATTCAAATGTTTATCATCATCTTTTTCTGTTGCATAGTAACTCTATGCAATAAGGGTTTATTAGAGGAGTCGTACATACTCCATACGAATTCGCATATTATATGTACTAATGTATATATATGTTGAAATTCAATGAATATTAAAACGAGAATTGTTGGAATCGTTTATAGTTGTTAATTTATTTTCATAAGATATTTGGGAAATGGGAAAGCCTAGATTTCCGTATCAGTTGTCAAAAGGATTGGATGCCAGATTGGCAGAACTTCAAAGTTATTCGATCGTCATCGCGACTGGCGCTAACAGGGCCCTTTGCCATCGTGTATAGAGCAAAATATAACTGTAATAAGATAACCTTCTTTATATCTACTTATATTTGATTGAATGCTGCAACAAGTACAATGTAACGTTTCCTCTTATTATGTATTTGAAAACAGTAACAGTCAATCATAAAAATAAAGTAAATATCTAATAATAACTAAATTAAAAGAATATGGGTTAATAAAATAAATTATCTTAAACAAATTTTAGATCCTCGAGTGACCTCTGATTTTATATCCAAATTTGAAAAAAATCGGTCCGGTAGTTTCAGGGAAAATGCGCGGATGGCGGACGGGGGACGGACAAAAAAATTTTTATTCGTTTTTCGAATTCTACGCATCCTGAAGCGTGAAACCTCAAATTTTTGGGGAGGGGGTTAAGTTTTTGAATTTTTTGGTCGATCACAATGGTTGATTATTGAAAATAATAAACCAAAATATATATACTCTACCTACCGTTTTTATTTATTGTTTTCATGATTTGTTATTCTCGTGAACAAAAAAGTTCTCTTTTTCTCGATATTGTATAATATATTTTATAAAATCAAGACTGGTACAACGAACCTGGTTATAGCATCTCCTAGGATGTAGCTACCCTCCAGGCCTTCCTGTAGTTGTACTTTGTTTCCAGTCATCCTTTCCAAGACCTAAAAAAAAAATAACATAAAACACAGTAAACATTCAATACATTCTCAGAATAAGTAATACGATAAAGGGTTCCTAATTTTTTTTTTTTATATGTATGTAGTTTTTGAGAAAGTGGGGTTTAATTAATGGATGGCGGTAGAAAACAAAACGATAGTAAGATATTTTATTATGTATTATGTATTTGATCTTAAGACCCCTAGATTGTTTAAATACAAGAAACGTATTTTTATTGGAGGAGGGAGAAGAGGGCGAAGGACCAAAAAAAAAAAAAAATTCAACATAATTATTGTGAAATGAACCAATACTTAAAATTAATTCGTTTTCATGTTTGTATAGTTGTAAGGATTATTTTTTGTTTTACTAATTAAAAATACTTGAAAATAACCAAAAGACAACCTTCATAACATTGGTACCTTTCTAGAAATTTTTCCTCTAAAAAAAAATAATGTAGAAAAGGAAAAATATCTTAGATTTCTTAATTTGTACAACCTAAAATAAAGAAACAACACATCCACAATGCGACTATGTTGTCGTGGAAAATCTAATATGAATATCATGTGAAAATTGAGAGGTGATTGAATCATAAAATCGTATGGTACTTTGATATATATATTGTTATGATTTTTCATATATCTATTTTAGGCCAAAGGTCACCAAATATACACAGTTTTTTATCTCCTGTATGCTTTATTCAACGTTTCGGCTTCAGGAGCCATTTTCAAGACCCTGTAAAACTAATTTTAACTTAGTTTTTACCATTCAAATACATCCTTATCAGACACATATTATTTAACAACCACAAGTAATACAATTAGTCCAAAATTTATTTTTAATTTGGAATAAATTTATATCATCCACCTACCATGCAACGCGCAATAAAATTTTTAAAATCTATCATTGCGATATGATTCGTTCTTAATTCATTCTTTTATTTCAAAGAATGTCGTTTTCCATTTCTAAAAATTGTAATATATAAATAATAAATTAAAATAGATTGTTATAATTAATCTTAAAAAAGAATATTATTAATTTTCGATTTATATACCTCTATTTGCAGACGGTATAAAGAAATTGTTGTTCCTCAATAGGGCATTAACTTTGAAATAAAAGAATAAATTAAGGACGAATCATATCGCAATGATAGATTTTAAAAAATTTATGGCGCGGTGCATGGTGGTAGGTTGATGATATAAATTTATTCAAAATTAAAAATAAATTTTGGACTAATTGTATTACTTGTGATTGTTAAATAATATGTGTCTGGTAAGGATGTATTTGAATGGTAAAAACTAAATTAAAATTAGTTTTGCAGGATCTTGAAAATTGCTCCTGAAGCCGAAACGTTGAATAAAGCATACAGGAGATAAAAACCTGTGTATATTTGGTGACCTTTGGCCTAAAATAGATATATGAAAAATTATGAGAAAATGGCACCAAACCTGAAGGATGTGACTAGAAAATTATATTGTTATGTTATTTTTTAATATAAATGACAATTTAAATAAGGTAACGTTTAGGTATCAATGAAATAGTTAAATACCTAATACTAAGCCCATGCCTAGCAAGCTAGTCGAATATTCTTTATCGATTTTAGTCTACACATTTTATTCATTCATGTAGGTTATTTATTATTCATATTAATTTTTATTTATTTCAAATTATTGGAGGACCGAAACAATATTCTCCCCCTCTCAATATTTTTATTAGGGAGGGAGCGATCGTTCCCCCCTCCCACCCCTCCTCTCCTCTCCCCCAAGTCTGCAATAAAATAATTATAAAAGAGTGCGATAAAAATAAATTTTAAATGGATTCCTGAAAATTACGTTAATGGTTTTCAGGAAATTTTCAAAATTCAAATCCGACCATCGGCTTTCGTAGGGTTGGCTAATTTACATTGATTTTTCTCCTAATCTAAAATTAATTACTGTACACATCCCACATCCTCAGGGGTCTGCCTGGGCAAAAAATGTTAGAATGGCCATTTTGTACTTTCATTATATTTATTCGTATAACGAATTTGTTTTTGTTTTTTTATATATAAGAGAGCACTTTATTTCACATACAAAATATAAAACATTTTATTTTCATATAAAATATTTAACACTTTATTTTCATTTAAAATATAAAAGCTTGCTGCCCAATTATATAGGGTTGCCAGACACACTGCATACTGGTTAATCGTGAGGACAGTCAATAGAATATAAAAAAAGAATAAGAAAAATTGAGAAGCCCAATCTTTAGAACATTTTGTAGCTTGCATGTTCTATATGATAATATAATAACAGCTGTTGTGGTTTTACTGAATTAGAATCAATCTACATATAAACATGTATATAACATCACTTTTCATAAAACGTTTTTTTTTTGTATTTATAGAATATAGTATAATATAATATAAATAATATTCTTCTTTATCCACGTTTCAGTTTTGTTCTTTTTACAGTGCTTCATTTGCCTAATGGTCAGAATAAATTAATTATGTGAGTTTATGATTGTAATTTATTTAACGTTTCATGGAAACTTCATCAGCAGCAACTTCAGCAATCTAATATAATACAATAAATTTATTTTGTTCGTTCAGTCATGAATCCGGTCATTATTAACTAAAAATACATATACGTTTAAAAACAATATCTTATAAATAAATTTAAGTTATATAAGAAATTATTATATTTATTTATAAGACATTGGTTTTCAACGTGTTTATGTATTTTTAGTTAATAATGACTGGATTCATGACTCAACCTGAAAAATATAGATTTATTGTATTATTTTAGAATGCTAAAGAGCTGGGCGAAGTTTCCCTGAAACGCTGTAAATATTTCAATCGAAACTCATTTGATTAATTTATTCTGATTTGAAGGAGATGGTCCGGGGTGGCGATCATAAATAGACTAAAATAGTGGAAAATCTATTTTATTTCAAGCCAACGTTTCGACCCGACTTTACAGGTCTTCTTCAGGGCTAGAACGGACAAGATACAGAAGGATATAGAAAATTGTGGAAGTTACATAATATTTAGATAAAAATTATAAACAAGGTGAATAAACGTATTGAAATTATAAACATTAGTTAAAGTACATCGAAATATTCAGAACAATAAACTATATAAACAGAGTAACAAGGTCCTAAACAGAAGTAAATAAATGGTAACAATTGTTGTAGTATGATATATACTATAATATATGCAATTATGAATACACTCCTACATATCTCAAGGAGAGATTGGAAGAAAAAGGATGAATAATTTTTGATAATTTAATATTCCAAGTTGTATTTTGCTTTTACTACTCCCCTCTCCTCACCAGGTCAGGAAATTTCCCCAAGGGTGCTCTACCAAAGTTTTTCCAGTTTTAACTAAAATTCCTTGTTGAACAGATCTGTAATTATCTATTTTTATTCTTTTACTCCTATTTTTATTTATTTTATTGTATTTATTTGTTTGTTTTTTTTGTTTTTCTTTTCTTTCTTTACATTCCTTTATGTCTATTTCATATTATTTATCCGTTTCTTCCGATGTATCCTTGAGGTTTGTTGAAGTATATTCATGATTCATAATTTGATCAATTAAAATATTTATTTCAACATGTTATAAAATAAAGTAATTTTATAACTTCAAAATTAATTCACTAAAATATATTCCAATATTTTGAAATTAAAGTTAAAAAAATAATTTGTATTATATGTAATCTATAATTGATTATGTTCTTAATAAGACCCTTATTTCTTTTCACAATCCTTTATTTGTATTTAATACATTATTACATACATATAAAATTTTCTTTTTTATATAACGTTTCGGACTTTTTTGGCCATTTTCAAATTTATTAATTGCACAATCTGTCCACGTTTGTATGATTAACTTATCAGATTTATTCAGACAAAAAAAGTATTTATCTTTGTCAGTCAAAAAGTTATTTTTTGGTGGCTTTACTTTTCTTTCTATAAAATAAGAAAAAAGTTATTTTACTTTGTACATTTTTTTTTTAAATTAATCATTAAATAAAAATCTTTAAATACACAATATTCAATCACTAACTTTATATAATATGTTTTCTATTTTAAATTTTAATTAGGCAAAAATTATTTATCCATTTATTCAAAAAGTCACACAACTAAAAAATGTATTTTTTTATTTATTTTCCATTTACCTTGCTTTGTGTTTAGAAAAAGCTAGGACAAGTATGTTAAGATGTCACACAAGATGAAAATATGAATAAAGTTCTGATCAAGTAATATCATCCATCTTTTTCAATACACAAAACAAGGTAAATAGACACTAAATGAAAGTAATATATTTTTTATATTTGGGTGCACAATGATTTTTTGAATAAATGGATAAATATATTTTTTTTTAAATGTACAAAGTAAAATTAGTTTTTTTTTATTTCGTAGAAAGAGAAGTATAAAACGTAATATAAAAAAGAAAAAAAATAGATGTATATAATAATGTACTAAAACAAATAAAGAATTATCAGAAGAAATAAGGGTCTTATTAAGAATATAATCAATCATAGATGAAATATAATAATTCTATATAATAAATCTCACTAAATATATGAATAACCCTAATAAGGTTGTTTAGAGTAAAATTAACTTTATTAATTAATAAAAATAAAAAAAATAAAATTAACTTTAAAAAATTCAGAATCAATAAAAATTGAAATTAAAAAAAAACACTGAAGTTTTTCCCAGACATCAAGAAGTAGGCATATTAAAGATAAATGAAAGACTTGATTCACTAAATACTTCTTCTTTGAATATTGGTCGTCCTGTTAAACGATTCGAAGTCTGTCTGCTATGCTGGAGGCAAGATCAATAAAGTTCAAGATTCAATTGATACGGGAGACACAGAAAAAAATGTGTTCGCCTCAGAAGTCTCAGTTAAGTCATCACGATTGAAGTATTGAACCAAACCTGAGTAGTATTTCAAATAAGATATATTATTCGTATTTAGCAGTTTAAGAAGAAAAATATACAATAGCTTTTTTTGAATGTA